ATAAATAAATAAATCTTTAAAAAAAAATGAATTTCCAAGATGGGAAAACCACCGGATTCTGTTTTCAAAAAGCAATTCAGCAATCTTAGATGAGTCTCTTTATTTATCCACCAACTATTTACTGGCAAGGCAGACACAGACTTATCTGCAATAAAATCCCACAATTGGGGGAAGGCCAGTGAGCAGTCAACAAGTAAAAGATCTTAGCACCTGTTGCACTGAATTACAATCCCCTTATAGGGTGGGGAGACCTCTGACCAAGAGCTGGGTCTAATTCTAGCACCTAGAACAGAGACGGCACTTAAAATGATGTTTGTGGAATAGATGAAAGAGTGAACAAATGTAGAGGACAATGTAGGGCTTCTGCCTGAGGGCATCCTGTGAACAGACTGGCTTGGGAGGTGGGGCCTCAGTCAGGCAAGGAGAAGAAGCTGGAGAAGTCAATGATTTTGTGATTCTGTTGTTAAGCAGGTGTTGAGACCTGGGGAAGGCACATCGCAAACAGAGACACCATGATAAGGAGCCCATCACTCCCAGGAATTGCATGATAGAGCTGCAAATTGTAACACTCCTGGGATGCTTGTTGGGGTAGCAAAGCTGGTGAATGGACAGCTGGCCTATACAAACACTGCCAAAAAGACTTGCTTCATGAGTAGAGAGATTTTTGCCCATTTTCTTACCATTGTATCCCTTTCGCTTTAATCAAAGTCAGTCTTTCCCTGTCACTTTAGGCATGGTTTCATTCAACCATGGCCCCAATTCAACCTCAAGTCAATCAGTCTATCAGCTTTTGCCCTTGGACCACTTCTATCACTCCACAGTTCTCACTTCAGATTTCCCAGAACATAGATCTGATTGATGCACCTTGTATTTCCCAGCAGGCCAAATCCTGGATCAGCCAACTGGACGTGTGCTCTGTGTGAGGTGCCCAGCCCCAGTTCAATCAGTCTGGGCCACAGAGAGGGTCACATGGTACCAAGTTGGCTACTTTGTTAGGAAGGCTGTTAGCATGCCCATTCCCTTAGGGTAGTTGGTCAGTGAAGTAGGCAGAGGACTGATATGACCAGTGTCCATCTCCAGAGAGAAGGAAAAAAGAGGTAAGAAATGTGTCTTGTTATTATTTGTATCTACAATGCCTATACAGTGCTTCATATATGAATTAATTGATAATTAATGGATAAATTTATTAATTAATAATTATTGAATTAATGGATAAATAAATGAATAAACATATGAAATTAATGAAGCAGAAGCAAGCGCTACTCAGAAGACAATTACTCTAACACCAGGAACAGACAGAATCCAGACACTGCTCAGCAGCCTTCTTGAACCAGGGCTGTGCTTGGCACATTCCCGTGCTCCTGTACCATAGTTCTCTCTCTCACAGGTCACCCTCTTGGAACATGAGCTGCAGAATGAAAAAATCCCGTATGCCAGGTGTTTCATACAGAACCCCCCTCTGACTGTGAACATTGCCCTATGCCAACAGGATCAGCTCAACTCAAGAGGCCTTTGGAACAGAAGAGAGAGCTTTAGTTACACTCTGTAATTAATCTCCAGTTTGGCAAAAGTGACTGTGAGTGCCAAGAATCCCTAGTCAAACAGATGCTTCTCCTGAGCTCTAACAACCAACAAAGTTGTCAATTATGTTGAGGAACAAGAAGCCATGAGATTATTTAAGGATCCAATGCCATCAAGAGACAAGGAAGAGAAAATACTGGGCTTGGATTTAGAAAGAGTGAGTTTGAATTTGCCCCTCAATTTCTTTCAAGTAAGGGTAATCAGTTCTGCCTTCCCACACTTCATGTGGTTGTGGGAAAGACCAATATAGGTGACATTAGTGAGAAGAGTTTGTACATGAAAGAAACATTGTGCACCAACAAGGAACTAACAGACACGTGGAGGGTGGTGGGCAAATCTGGAGGTGGAAAGATCAGTTAGGAGTGAGCTGCAGGTCACAAGCCAACTCAAAGCAAGCCAGAGGCAGAGAGATGGAGAAAAGGGACTTTCTGGCCTATATGCGGAGTCTAAATGGTTCAGGGAATGAAAGAATGAAGGATAAACAGCAATTCTGCAGAAAGGAATCACCTTGTCAAAGCATTCTCTGTTACAATAATTTCTGAATTCTGAATTGCACTCCTGTCTTTCTGACACTAGAGAATTTGGTACATATTTCATTATTGCCTTCATCACCTGATTTAATGAATTTGTTAATTTTTTTTAACCTCTTCTTCTAGACTCGAGTCCACATACAGCAAGAGCATTTTGCATTACTACTCAGAACTTCTTTCGGTGCCTGGAATGCTGCTTAACACACAAGCAGTGTGTAATGTCTGATGGACGCAGGATTCATCACATCATCATGGATGTGTTTATTCAAATCTTCACAGTAATTTTGCAAGGAAAGTATTTTAATTCCTGTTCACAGATGAAGAATCTAAGCCACAGAGAGCATAAGCAAACAAGTTGTCCAGAGCTGTGCAACAAATACTCTAAAGCTCCCGAGAGCCTCAGCCCACCTCTGGAGCCCCACCTGGTGCTAACTCCATGATCCCCTCATCGTTGCTCTCCCACACGGGTGAGCACTTCACTTCTCTCTGGCTCCCTGCGCAGTTCCTGTGATAGCTCCCCAGCCGCACAGCTGGGCACCCATACTTGTTCCCAGCAGAAGCAGGCCTTGCACCACCCATTCCTGACCCATGCTAGAGATTTTCCTAAGTTTCCCATCTCCACTATCACAAGCTACACAGCCAGGAGGATTTTACACTTTCTACAAGCATTTGGGGAGAAGGAACCGGTATCTGGAAGGTTCTTTCTCCAGCCAGCTAAGCTCTGTGGGGCTTCTGCTTACAGCACCCCTCACCCCACCACAGCAGAGCACAGTAGAGAAAACACTACCATGGAATCAGGCACACAGAAGCTCATACCCCAGCACCTTCACTCAATAGACTTTCAGCTCTGATCAAGCTCTTGACTTCTCTGAGACCCACTTTCACAACTGACAAATGGGAAGGACAATGCCTACTTTACAGGAGAATGCCTACTTGTGGGAATTAAGCTAAACAGTATCATAATTGCCAAATGACAGACAGTAATGCTAATATCACCATAGTTCCCATAGTTTTGCTTTCTTTATAAGATTGGGTCTCCCAACCCCAGGTTAACAAAATCTCTCACCACTGACAGTAATCATTCATATCACATATTGGTATCAAGTAAGAAGATATGCTGTTTGCATTCTAATTGACAGCAGGGTATAAAACACAAGACAACATTAGTTGTTGTGGTTTCATTGGCTTCCTATGTTGTGTGGACATGCTTAAGCAGTGCTGGAAAACAGTAGGGACTGGGTAAACTCACTTGCTAAATGATGCAACAGTTGACTGTGCCTTGTCTTAAACTTTAAAATCCAAAAGGAGCTTGCTTGAACTGACTGGTCCATCAGTCAGCAAGCACTTTCTGAGGCATGAGGTTAAGGGTGAGTCTCTCCCTGTCCTCTTCTGTGATTGGAGACACATGCACTTACCTACAAGGGGAGCTGACTGTTCAATAAGGGTGTAACAAGTGCCAAAAAAGTGCCTCAGACACCGCCCTCATGGCATAGAGTGTCTTACTATGAAGCAGAATAATTTAAAATCAGTCCTTCTCCACAACTCCTATGTTCTGAGCTAAACATCAGACTCCAACGTCCATTCACTTATGACCTTGTCCTTGTCTCCTATTGACAACCAACATCCTCAGAGATTCCAGGATAACATCTAACACAATGCCTGATATATAATAGATCCCAATAAATGATAATGTAAATTTATACTTAAGGGTATCAGTTGCCTGATATTTTAGATAAGGTATGCATATGGGATAGTAGGTGGTTGCTCAAGGCAATCCTTCTGTTATGGTTATTTCTTTGATATTTCTTTATAGAAATATAAAACATAAACATCTGTGCATTAATGCCCTTTGACTACTGACTTTTGGAAGGGGATGGTGATGGAGAAAGAGATGGGAAACTTTGTTTCAAGAAAGCTCAAAGGATTATAGGAAGGCAGAAGTGAATCCACACCCAACTACTGACAGATGTTCCGCAATCATTTCTGGCTGCCAGAGATCCTGAGAGCTGGGTTTCTAGGTGAATATAGAGCTCCTTGAATGTGAGGAGGAGGACCATCCATTAAAACCCCCAAGCCGTTGCCAGAGGCCAGCTTCAGGGTCCTGGGCTGAGGCTTCCTCTCTGGCACACCACCTGGACCACCAGGTCTGGAAGAATACCTTGATGACTACATCAATTTGGCAGAAACAAAACACTAAGCTATCAGGAAAGCTGCTATTAGTGGCTGTGTGTGATCTCCTGGCACTTGCGGCCCATGCTGGCTGGCTTCCTGTCCTACCCTGGCACTCAGGCTGGCATTTCAGAAAGTTCTGGCAGCAGAATCTTGGAAATGATACCTTTAAAACAACGTGGAGTCAACTAATGTGGCCTTGGCAGAGCTCACCTGAGGCCACCTCCATCTGTCGTCCCCTTCCTTGATGGTTCTCTGGTCTCACCTGCTCTTTAGTACTCAGAGCCTCTCCTGTCCTTTTCATGCCCTCGCTGGGAGCGATCCTGTGGGTGACTCCCTCCTCCTCCTCAGTCTGACAGCTGGGCAAGGCAGCTGAAGCAATTCCCATAAAGGCTGTCAGCCAAGTCTGAGGTGCAGGGGAAGATGGTTTCAATGTGGAGGGGACACATCCAGCTTCCTGCCACAGAGGAGCAGAGGGCCCTGTGTACAGCATGTGAAGGCCATAATGGGGAGATGAGAGTGGCCTTGGGGTTTCTCCTACTACAGGTAGCCCAAGGCAGGCTCAGCAGAGATGGCTGTGGATATCTGGCCTTTCCTGACACCCTCTGGACAACAGCTAGGGCTCCTTAGATGCAACTAAGTATGTTAGGTTAAAAACAATAAATAGAGAGCAGACATTTAGTCAAGTGACTAAAATGTGTATACCCTGTATATGAGTACCTGGGTTCAAGTCCTGGCTCTGGCTTCTGACTCCTGCTTTTTATCAGTGCAGACCGTGGGAGGCAGCAGGCGATGGCTCAAGTAGTTAGGTCTGCGTCGCCCACATAGGAGACCTAGTTTGAGTTCTCAGCTCCCAGCTTCAGTCCAAATCCAGTCCTACCCGTTGAGGAATCTGGTGAGTGAACCAGCAAATGGGTTCTGTCGGTCTCTCCTAACAAGGAAATAAAAGTGTTTTAAAAATGGAATGTGTTGAAAGGATATAGAGTACCTCACTAAATCAAAAGAAAGGCTGAACAACTTTGTCTTAGAGAGGACAGGAAGAAAGGAAGACATGGAATCAAGATGACAAATCAGCCCAGAGCTGACATCCCTTGAGGGCATCTGCTGTCCCAGCATCAAGCCATTCAGGATTCCTGGTGAATCTGATGGAACCAAGTGATCCAAATAGAGGCCTATCAAATTGGCTGAATCTGATTGACAGAGCTCATTCTCTATGGGGAAATCAGGAATCAGGACTCCGCCAGAACAGGGTGACACAATAGTTAGGTGACTAAAAACTACAAGTGTCTACCACCTCAGGCCCAGAGAATCCCTCGCCTCTCCTGCCCATGTCTGCTCTAACTTGCCAACAAATGAATTTTGCTGTGAGAAGGTTGGTGGGAAAATTTCAGAAAGTCAGGAGCAGGGGGAGACTCAATTACTATTTATAGAAAAACTTGGAGATGGGAGTTCTAGAACTGTTTTCCACTTCCTAGAAAACCTGAATTGAGGAATAATGGAATTCATGCAACCTAGAACACTGGGAGTCACCCAGATGCCTCTATTGTCTTCCTCTGCCCCTGAAATCAAAGCAGGCACCAATTCCTTCCCTCTGACCACCCTTAACTTGTATCCAACTCATCAGACGCCACCTTTTCCCCTGCTGGGGGCCAGCACCTCTTAATAGTCTCCCTGCCTCTGGCCTTGTCCCTCTCATTGTCTCCCATGCTGCAGCCAGAGGGATGTCTCAGAAACCCAAACCTGATCGAGTCAAGCCACATGGGGGAAATCTTAGCAGACACTCAGGGCCCTGTGACTTATGGGCAGCTCTGTTCTTCTGCCTTCTGGCAAGTTCCTCCTTTCTTCACAACTTCCATGTGAAGTTTTTTTGGAAGTGTGATTAGTACCCACTATCTGTGCATTGAAGAGGCAGGCAAAAGAAGTCTCTCCTCCTGTTGCCTGGATTCAGTGCAGATTCAGGTGCTGAAGCCCTGATCCCCTGTGTGACTGCATTTGAGGAGCCAGTGGAGATTAGGGAGCTTATGAGGGTAGGGCCCTAATCCTACCATACTGCTGTCTTTATAAAGAGAGGAAGAGGCACCAGAGCTTTCTTCTTCTACCATGTGAGAACAGCGAGAGAAGGCAGCCATCTGCAAACCAAGTAGAGCCTGCACCAGAAACTGCCCCTGATGGACCCTGACCTGAGGCTGGTGGCCTCCAGAGTGGTGAGAATCAACGTCTGTTGTTTAAGCCTCCTCATCTGTGGTGTTTTTCTCATAGCAGCCTAAGAAGATTTAGACAGTCTGAAACAGTCTGCAAACACCTTGACATCACTTGCGGCCAATTGGGGAGTGAACCAGCTGATGGAAGACCCGCTTCCCCCTGCCTCTCCTTCTCTCTCTGTGAAACTCTGACTTTTAAATAAATAAATAAATAAATCTTAAAAAAAAGTTTACTGGAAAATGTCACTAGATGATAAGCTGATTTCAGTGCAAAAAAGTTATTAAAATACATGTACAGTTTTTGCATAATACACATTTCCCATTCGCTAACTGAAGACCCCTCATAAACAGGACTGACTAGAGGGTCTCCCGAGATTTTACCAGCTGTATTGTGTGAACTTGTTCTCTGAAACCGCACTGCCTCTCACACTGGCCTCCGTCCTCACCTCCCTCTGAGCTCTGACATAATTGAGTCCCTAAGTATCTCATGTGTGGGTTATCACTTTTTATTTGTTAATTAGGCCACCTGCCTAAAAACACCCCCCTCTTCAGTCACTCTGCCTGCCACCTACCAACTATCTGCTCCATCCAAAATCCTGCCCAAGTCCTTCACACACCTGGAGAACACTGTCTAAGGGACTTAAACTTGCAGTTTCCAACTTTAAGTTACCCTTCAACAAGTGTCAGCAAATGTGAATTGGCAACAGGGCTTGAGGTATTCACATCGAAAAATCCTTGCTCTGCGGGAATTTGCAATTGATCCTTCCAGGCTTATCTGCCCTGCCTTTCTTTTTCTTTCTTTTTTTTTTTCTTTTTTAAAGATTTATTTATTTACTTGAAAGTCAGAGTTTCACAGAGAGAGAAGGAGAAGCAGAGAGAGAGAGAGAGAGAGAGAGAGGTCTTCCATCCACTGGTTCACTCCCCAATTGGCCGCAATGGCCAGAGCTGTGCCAATCTGAAGCCAGGATCCAGGAGCTTCTTCCAGGTCTCCCACATCCTTGGGCCCATCTTCTACTGCTTTCCCAGGCCATAGCAGAGAGCTGGATTGGAAGTAGAGCAGCTGGGACTAGAACCGACACCCATATGGCATGCACTTCAGGTCAGGGTTTTAACCTGCTGTGCCACACCCAATCTGCCCTGCCTCTCTTCACTATCTTTCTATACCTGCTCCTCCTCCCCCCAAACATTCCCATTTCCTTGCCTTTGCTCCCATGATCCTCTATCCTGGAAAGTCCTCTTCTTCTAGGCCGTAGTTATCTGGATTTCAATGTTCTGTCTAGTAAGGCCTTCCCCCAGCCCCCCAGCCCACAGCCATCTTTTGTGTCCTCCTCAGAACTCCCGAGGTGCTCGATCACCACTCACTTGTTATGTCAGCTCTGTTCCCACATGCACAAGCATAGGGCTTTGTGTTAATATGTATGTGTAGGTGTGTAATCCTCCCATGAGACTGTTGACTTCCTTAAGGCAGAGATTGGTTTCTCCCTGTCTCCTCTGGCTCCTCCTCAGTGCTTGGCCTCTGGAAGTCAGAGAGTACCGAGAAGCAGGAAGTGCGTTGGCAGGGAACAGGTTTGTGGGGCTCTCCCTAAGCCCATTGGCTTCATTTGCCACTCTCCAGTAAGGCCACTTCTCCCTGTTCCTCTGTCTAGCTCCTGTCAGCTGAAGTACCTGTGGCAAACTGCCAGTGTAGGCTGATGAAATCTTGAAGATTTTACATTTTCCTCAAAGCCTGAAAGAACTGGTCAGATCCCTCTTCCTTTCTTGACTTCTCTAGAGGAGAAACTACACACACACACACACACACACACACCCCTATTCTAACTTGTGGGTGATCCTTTTTTTCTTTCTGTGAGGGGTAAGGATATTACAGCAGAAAAGAAAAATTAGGCAGCACACACACACAGAAGGAGAAAGAGAGAGAGAGAGAGAAGAGCCAGACAAGAGCCCACAGCTTGCACTGACTACAGAATGCAGTCCAACATAGGCAGCAACATCACGTGCAGAAGCCTGCACTGGCAAAGGCAGACAGAGTCTGCCCAAAACACACAGGCTGTGAGCAGTCTCTCCTCTGCAGCAGACTTCATGCCACCGCCACTTCTCCCTGTCTGCTCATTCCTACTGCCTTCCACCAAAAGGGAAGAAAGGTAGTAGTTCACAGACATCATCACTTACCCAGCAACTTGGACTCCCTCTCTAAACAGGCTTTCTTGTCTATCAAAGATAGCAGCCAAGATACTTCCTGCCCTGGGACAGAATCAACGAAAAGAATTTTAAAAGATAATAATAATTCTCCTACCATAAATGACAAGCACCACAATGCCCTAGGGCACATCTAATGAACTTACAGCCTCTGTTGTCAACAGCTTCCAAGGCAGGGATAGTGTGTTTGCAAACACATTCCAGAAGAGTCAATGTGATCTGGTGTTGACACAGGCCCATAGCTGTCAGAGGCAGGAGTTTTCAATTTATGGATGCCATAAAGCTTTGGCAATATGATTGCTACAATGTGTGCTGTGTTTTTGACAATATGCAGAGGGTTGGGGGTTGGCAAATATCAGGTCCACACTTGGTCATGGGTTTGGGCTCATGAGGGAAAACCTGGATTGATTTCTGCTACTACAAAATAGCTGTAATGGTGGCTTCAAACAATAAACACAAGAATGTTAGGTGGTTCTTTTCAAGCTTATCTTATCTCTACCTTGACCCAAAGGTAGGTTGGTCATTCAACAAACGTCGATTATCACCTACTCTGTGACAGGCACATTGTGCAGGATAAGTACAGAGTACTGAGGCTACACAAAAAGTAGGCAGTAAGTTTACCTCCAAGGGACTGAATAAATACTATCTTAAGCTGAAGCAGAAGAGTACCCGTGGCACTTATATGCATGTATATGTGCATGCGTATGCCCATGGGCTGCTCTGACTCTGTCCAAATAGATCCCTCATGGATATCAAAAGCAGGGGTGGTCAAGTCATCGAAAGCCATGCAGCCAGCAAACATTTACTAATATTTCACCATGATGCTGAAACAGAGTCCAAGGGAGCAACTGCGGCTCTCAGTCTTCAACAATAGAGAAGGGATGGCCGGCGCCGCAGCTCACTAGGCTAATCCTCCACCTGCGGTGCCGGCACACCGGGTTCTAGTCCCAGTCAGGGCACCGGATTCTGTCCCGGTTGCTCCTCTTCCAGTCCAGCTCTCTGCTGTGGCCCGGGAGTGCAGTGGAGGATGGCCCAAGTGCTTGGGCCCTGCACCCGCATGGGAGACCAGGAGAAGCACCTGGCTCCTGCCATCAGATCAGCGCAGTGCGCCGGCCGCAACGCGCTGGCTGCAGCGGCCATTGGAGGGTGAATCAACGGAAAAAGACCTTTCTCCCTATCTCTCTCTCTCTCTCACTGTCCATTCTGCTTGTAAAAAAAAAAAAAAAAAAAAAGAGAGAGAGAAGGGAGAAGATACTTGGGTCCATATGCACATACTCATTGTCAACTAGAAAAGGATTTTTGTCCTTTAAAAAAATGTATTGCCACTGCATACCTCTTAGAATGGTAACAATTCAAAACACTGACAACACCAAATGCTAACAGGATGTGGAGCAATATGATCATTCACTTACTGATGTCGGGAATGCAAAATGATACGGCCACTTTGGAAGACAATGTGGTAGATTGTACCAAACTAAACACACTCTCACCATACAACCCAGTAACTGGGCTCCTTAGTATTTACCCAAAGGAATTAAAAACTTATGTCCACAAAAAAGGCTGCACACAGATGTCTCTAGCAGCTTTATTTTTTTTTTTTTTTTGGTTTTACTCCCCTGGGATTCTTTTTTTTTTTATCTTTTATTTAATGAATATAAATTTCCAAAGTACGACTCATGGATTACAATGGCTTCCCCCCCCATACCGTCCCTCCCACCCACAACCCTCCCCTTTCCCACTCCCTCTCCCCTTCCATTCACATCAAGATTCATTTTCGATTATCTTAATATACAGAAGATCAGCTTAGTATACCTTAAGTAAGGATTTCAACAGTTTGCTCCCACACAGAAACATAAAGTGAAAAATAATAGATGATTTTTTTTAAATGATGATGAAATTAGATCAGACCTATTGTCATGTTTAATCCCAGTGAGAGTCAAGTTGGGAATTGATAATTTCTTTTTTTTTTTTTTTACAGAAGATCAGTTTAGTGTACATTAAGTAAAGATTTCAACCGTTTGCACCCCCATAGAAACACAAAGTGAAATATACTGTTTGAGTACTCGTTATAGCATTAAGCCTCAATGTACAGCACATTAAGGACATAGATCCTACATGAGGAGTAAGTGCACAGTGACTCCTGTTGTTGACTTTACCAATTGACACTCCTGTTTATGGCATCAGTAATCTCCCTATGCACCAGTCATGAGTTTCCAAGGCTATGGAAGCCCCTTGAGTTCTCCGACTCTTATCTTGTTTAGACAAGGTCATAGTCAAAGTGGAGGTTCTCTCCTCCCTTCAGAGAAAGGCACCTCCCTCTTTGAAGACCTGTTCTTTCCACTGGGATCTCACTCACAGAGATCTTTTTGCCAGAGTGTCTTGGCTTTCCATGCCTGAAATACTCTCATGGGCTTTTCAGCCAGATCCGAGTGCCTTTAGGGCTGATTCTGAGGCCAGAGTGCTATTTAGGACATCTGCCATTCTATGAGTCTCTAGCAGCTTTATTTATAATTTGCAAAAATCTGGAAACAACCAAGATGACCTTTAATAGGTGAATGGATAAACTGTGATGCATCCACACAATGGAGTATTAGTCAATGATAAAAAGAAATGAGTAGACTATGAAAAGACATGGAGGAAAATGTAAATGTATATTACTTAAATAAAGCAAGCCAATCTGAAAAGACTATATAGTATATGGTTCTAATTATATGACCTCCTGAAAAAGGTAAAATTATAGAGGCAGTAAAAAGCTTAGTGGTTGCCAGGGGATTAAGGAAGAGAGAGATGAGCAGGCAAGAGCATAGGGGATTTTCAGTGCAGAGCCATGATTTGGTATGAGACTACAACACCAGAAACACACTTAATCCATTTTGTGCTGCTACAACAAATCCTTGAGACCAGGTAATTTATGAAAAACAGAAATTTGATTCTCACAGTTCTGGAGGTTGAGAAGTCCATGGTCAAGGTGATGGCCGTTGGGGTCTGGGGAAAGCCTTTCTTGCTGCTTCCTCCAGGGGAGAGGAATACTACATCCTTGCCCAGCAGAAGAGGAGAAAAGAGGGAACCCACTCCCTCATGCCCTTGTATACAGGCTTTAGTCCATTCATGAGGGTGGAACCCTCATGGCCTAAATACCTCCCATTAGGTCCCAGCTCCCACACTGTTGCTTTAGGGATTACGTTTCTAACACGTTAGTTTTTGGAGAGGACAAAAACATTCAAACCACAGCACATGGTATTACACATCTGTCAACACCCACAGAAAGTGCAACACCAAGAGTGAACTCTGATGTCACCTATGGGCCTTTGCTGGCAGTGATGTGTCAGTGTTGGTTCATGAGACTGTATTGACCATAACAGACTTATCATTGTGGAGCCAGATATTAATGGTGAGGAAGGTTTGGGAAGGAAATACAGTGGAACTCTACTTTCTGCTCAATTCTGCTGTGAACCTAAAACCACTCTGAAAGAAAAGCTTATTGAAATGAAGACATGAATAAATAAATGACCCTAAATGGCATTCTAGACAACGGATGGCTGTTGAAAGAAATGAATGGATCAGAAGGGTAAGTTTGTCAGGTAGGTTGCTGAGCAGATGCGTTAGGTTCTTTCTGACATGAGAATGTGTTACATTTTTATGCTGACTTATTCCTTCTTTGGGTACATGGCCATGTTCAGAACGGAGAGTTTAAAGTATGGGTTTTGTGAATGACTCCAATCAGGCTGTATCCAGTCCCAGGAGTTACATCATAATTTCTGAATCAGAGGCCAGGCAAGATCAACACAGAGGACTAGTGTGTGAGGTGCTGTTGGAGACAGCAGCTGCCAGTGTTCTGTGACTGAGAACAATCATGGTGAAGAGTGTGACTGCTTTACTGGGCATTGCAATATCACTCTTATGCAAAAGTGAATAAAAAATGCTTAACAAACGGGATGGTCTTAATTCTGTTAAATAATCTATTTGAACTTAGACAAAGGATCAGAAAGACATGCCAGTTGTCAACAGCAGTAGCCTCAGGATGACACACTAACATGCGGCTTTTATGTTCTACTCTGTGTGCCTGTGTGTTCCCAGTTTTCTCCCATAAATATTACTTTTTAAGTCAAAGTTGAAAGAGAGCGATAGAGAATATGAGAGTGATTATCCACCAACAGAGCTGCCACTCAGGGTTCTGGATTTATTAGCATGAAAATCAACCAGCAGGAATTCTTGCAACATCTGACCCAGAGCAAGCTTCTGAAGAACAACAGGGGTATAGCTGGGCTTAAAATGAAAGTCGTTCACATGAGGCTGTGTTTAAGTCAACTACTTGGGCCTCACCCAGTTCTTGTTGACCCCCAGGAGATGAAAAGAGCTCAAAGTTTAAATGCAGCAGGTTTTCCCATCAACACCCAACATCTTCATGAATGCAAAGAAAATGCTGTTTCCAAAGCTGAAAAAAGGCAAGAATAGCAGTAGATGTGCCCCCAGAGATACAAATAAGACAACTGGAGTTAGGAGCCAACAGGTTTAAATCCTAATAGGTTGTGAATAGGGAAGTGGGGGGAGACAGAAATGAAATAAACTTGAACTACAATCAGGGATCAAAACCTAATACCTTGGGGCCTGCACTGTGGCTTAACAGGTAAAGCCACAGCCTGCAGTGCTGACATCCCATTTGGGCACCAGTTCAAGTCCCAGCTGCTCCACTTTTGATCCAGCTCCTTGCTAATGTGCCTGGGAAAGCAGAGGAAGATGACCCAAGTCCTTGGGCCCCTGCACCTATGTGAGAGACCTGGAAGAAGCTTCTGGCTCCTGGTTTTGGATCAGCCCAGTTCCAGCCATTGCGGGGTGTATGTGTGTGTGTGTGTGTGTGATGAGCTAGCACATGGAATATATCTCTCTGCCTCTCCACCTTCTTCTGTAACTCTGTCTTTCAAATAAATAAATAATCTTTTTTTCTTTTTAAAAACAACCTAATGCCTTCCACTTAAAGTAATGGCTCTTCCAGGAGCCTGTTAACACTTTGTAACTATAACAGATGCCTCCAAAGAATCCACTCCACAGAGGAAACACTGAAAGATCCATCTACCAAAAAGTGACAGTGGCCCTTGGAGCAAGAACAGACAGTTCTTCCAGAAAGGCTTAGCAGTGAAGAAACAAGAGAAAACGAGAGCAATTCTTCTATGTTCTTCTATGTCCCATCAAATCCTGTTTCCTAAGAATGCACATTTTTATATTTTAGCAAAGAGCTCTGCTATGGTTTAAATTAAGTGTCCTGTTGAAATGTAGTCCCAGATCTAACAGTGTTGAGGGACAGTGGAAACTCTAAGAAGTGATCAGCGTGTTAAGAGGCATTAATGCAGCGATCACAGGACGGGGTTAATTCTTGCTGGAGTGAGTTCTCATGCTCACAGGACTGAATTAGTCTCCGAGGGAGCAGGTTGTTATAAAGGGAAGCCAAACCTCATCTATTGTTTCTTCAGCACATGCCTGCTTGCCCTTCTGCTATGTTATGAAGCAGCACTCGGTCCTCACCAGGCGCCAGTGCCAAGTCCTGGGGCTTCCCAGCCTCCTGAATCATGAGCCAAAATAACAACTTTGCCTTTATTAATTACCTGGTCCCATGTATTCTGTTATAGCAAAATGGACTAAGACTCCTACTTGACATGTGTAGTGATTGGTTTTGAGATCCTACTTCAGAGGATGGATGAGAATTTGAGAATGGGCTGTGAGTTCCTACCAAGAGCTGCTGGATCCACTGAGCTGCTACCATCTGAGATCCTTTTACCAAGGTGATAAACAGCCTAACTCTGGTCACTGCTAATCTCAGGAGGAAACGGAAGGTCAGATCTGTGAAGTCAAGTAGCTGTTGTTCCCATACCAGCATCTTTAAAAATTATTTTTTAAATAACCACGAGCTTAGACATTCTCAAAAGCCACATGGATTGGCAGGTATCCTAGCAGACATTAGAGAAGGAGAGGTAGAATGCGGTATGTGTTTAATAATGCTTTTGAGAGAGATTTTTATGAAGAATTATTTTGATATACTCATCTCATTTTGTACCATGAAGCTATATGGAAATATTGTGATTTGCCCAAGAAGGTAAGCTAGTAACTGACAGTGCTGAGATTTGAACCACACAGTCTTCTTACTCAGCTCTCTGTCTATGGGCCTACCCTAGAGCAGTGTACTAAGATCCTATAGCTATGAAGGAACTTCCAAGCAGGATTAGGAAGTGGAAACCTGGACAGTCTGACAGCCTTTTCAGGACAGGGTTCGTATCCTGTTGATCTTGTGTATCAGAGGTTGGTGTGCAGAGGACCCTCCTCACACTTGGGAGATAAAGGAAGAGGTGGGTCTGGAAGACTTCAGTACCAGGTGAAACCCAGTGCCAGCTCACTCACTGATGGCTTGGGTGTATCAACATCCTCCCCATAACAGGCTCCATCAGAAAGTGGGGCACTGAAGCTTCTTAATGCACCTTCAGGAGCAGGAACAGTGGAATGATTATGGCTATGGGGCACCTCCCTCCATGCTCCTTGGGGACTTTCAGGAACAACCTTGGGCCACTTCTGAGGTTCTGCTTGGGCAGGTCAGAAGGGAGGGAGACTTAAGTTACTGAAAACTGAAGCAGACGATATTCAAATTACCTGTGTTTTTAAAGATAAGATCAAATATGGTTTTTTTTTTTTGTAC